ACGTCGTTCTTGTAATTGGAATTGTTTGCATAGCGCAGTCGACCGTCTGGCCTGAACTCGAACTCCAGGAACTCATGCCCGAACTTGCCCTTGTGACCCACGTAGTAACGCACGTAGAAGTCCTCCTCTTCAGCCATGATCCTCTACTGCACCCTCCGTGCTGGCTGCTTTTTATGACTGAGCCAAGCTGCAGTATGTATGACAGCCGATCGAAAATGCATGTAACAGCATACTGCAGCATACTAGTTACTAGTTGAGCTGCCACAACACGAGGCAGGCGACCCATCTCTACTCAGGCGAAGCAAATGCGAGCAGCATCTGAAGATGCCTGACTGAACATTGGCCGAGCAGCTGAATCACGTGACTTGTGGACATCCTCTGACCTTTTGAAGCAAATCCGGCAGGCTCTGCTGCTGCTGGCTAGACATTAATGCCGTCCGTGGCACCCTCGGCTTTTGAACCTCGCAGAGGCGGGATGTGAGCAGCACACAATTGGGTCGGCAATCTATTTCCCTTTGTCGTAGCAGTCCGCAATAAACTGCAGGAGCAAGCGGCGCCACGCACAGCTGCAAGTGCAGCTGCAAAAAAACGATGGTTCGAAGCACCTGGTCTTCGGGAAAGTCTGCACCTTTGTATACGGATTGGTGGTGCCACATCTGCAGCTTTGGCCTTCATTGTCTCGGACGGAAGCCCCCTCCAGGAGTCCTGCAGAATGCTGGCGCAGAGTGTTGCAGCTGACAGAGACGGGACGGGACGGGATAAGCTCCCATTGGTCCTGGAGCGGGCTTTGAGACAAAAGGTTTGAGCCCACGCGGCGGAACAGGGAATCGAAAACACAACAGAACACGTGCTTCATGATGTTGGAAAAAGGTGTTCCAGCACAAAGTTCGAAGCCTGGTCGCCGAGCACAAGGTAGGCATTCCTTGAAAAACAAGCGCATTGTATTGACACTGACGTCCCCATACTCAAGACAGAGCAGCCGCTGCTGCACTTACTGCCTGTGCTGGTTAAGGCCCGCGCTTGATTTCAATGAAGACTCCCGCTCGTTCTTCCTGCTCCTTTGCTCGTTGACGGAACAAGCCCGGAAACAGGCTCGTGTCTCAGCAAATCCGCTGCTCCTCTTTGGAGAGGCTGGCCATCTTGTCCGGATGGTAGATCAAGGACAATTTCTTGTAGGCCTGCAGTCGGCACCACGTACCCACAGTTCATCACAGTTCCACATGGCCATGACACGTTTTTTGCAAGACCGCAGCAGCAAAATGGCAGCATATCTGGTTCCCGCCTTCTTGATCTCTTCCAGGGGTGCATATTCATCAACGCCAAGGACCTATCTTCTTAAAACTCTGCATCGGCTCGTCCCAAAGGCTCGTCCCAAAGCCACTAGCGGGCTAGTATGGAAAAGGACCGACGATTCGGGAGCCCCCGAAGGAAGCATTGCGATGCTTGAAACACAAACGGCCGGGGCTACCGTGTAATAGTTGACGCCCTTGTCGTAGTCATAAGCCTGCACCAGCGCCCAGTAAGTTTCATGTCAAGCGCCCTGAACTTGCACCAGGCCGTGGCAGGCCTTGGGGGCGGTGAAGTCCTCATCGCAAGGATTGAAGTCCTGAGCAAATCAACTCACTCTCTTCACACTCCTACGGCACCCTCGTTTAGATGCATCTCTCTAAGGCGCCTTGTCAGTCTGCTTCCGCATCTTGTCGCGCTCGCCGGTCAGCTGCGACCTGTCACATTCATCGGACGGCAAGTATAATGTGCAACGTGCTCCTTTGCTTTGATACCGAGTATCAAACACATATTGCTCCTGTTGGCGAGCCTGAGCACAGCGATCAGTCGCCCACTCTCTCGGAACCTTGTGTGTGGAATGAATTTGTGCGAAGCCCGACGGCAGGCCTTCACCATGAACGGGCTGGACTCGAAAGCTTTGGATTGCCTTGGCCAGAGATGACAAGCATGCCCTGTCAGCCCAACGATTCTTCGCATTGACTTGCAACGGGGCATCCAAGCCGACTGCTCCGCTGACATTCGGTGGCCTCCATGCTGTATACCCTTTGTTGCCAGCTCATTCTGCCTGCGCAGCTCAGCAACAGTCCGAGCATCGTCATGCACACACATCCTCGGGCCTGAAGCTGTACTGCCCATCATACACAGTGACCTAGCACCATTAACTGAGCACACAAAGCGTGAATCGACTCGGAAGGCAACTGGGGCCCTTGCGGACATGTTTCTCCAATCTCGGGCAAAAGACCCTGCGAGAGCAGGTCAAGTGATGCACCCACGACCTAGCTTCCCCGCTCGGAAAGCTCCCACGTCGGCTGAGACCCGAGCAACAGATGAAAATGTGCAGCTTCAAAAGGAAAACGTGCGTACAGGAGAAGCGCCAGGGGGTCCAACTTGTGCATGTTTGTCAACTGCTGCGTTGCACTCTGCTGCACCCTGCTCGCTTGCAAGGGGTTTGCATGATCCTTGACTGTCAACTATCAGTGACTACCAGCCAAAAGGACTGAGAGGGACTCCAGATGTCGTCATGTCGACCTATGTACCGTGCAACTTGCAGCTTCCCGAAGCGCCCCCGCCCAGGACTGGAGTTCACTCGACTGCATAGAGGCAGAACATCAAGACCAACAAAAACGATTCTTTGGCGACGTGAAACTTTCCAGGGTTTGGCCATAGCACTTTCTGCTGGCAAAAATCTGAGAGCACTTTGGCTGCATCTAACATGAAACGCAAGCTCCACCCGCCGATGTGCCTTGTTGACCGCTGCGGGTGGGTCTTTGTGAAGTGGCCATGCTTAGGGCATGCACTAGCGGGGCGACTTTGCATTCTTTGCAGGGGGCTTCGGGGGGAAAACCGAGGAATCTTGCAGCTGTATCTGTGTCTCACTGGCACCCACAGCACCGCCTGTTTGCACTTTGTCCTCTGGAAACCCAGCGTCAACAAGGTAGTTTCTCAACACCTGGGCTCGCTTGGCAGCCATGTCCTGCCAGACGGCCGTGTCACCTCCCTTGGGCATCTTGAGACTGATAGTAATGCTCACAGGAACCTGAAACATGTTCACAACGTCAAACACATCATCCAGCACTGCTTCGGCTTGTGACGCATCTGCAAGGGAGACTGGTGGACTTTGCTTGGCGTCTTTAGGCGGAGCCGCTGGACTGAACGATAGCTGTTGCAGAAGCACTATCCGTCCAAACTGCCGGTCAAGCTTTACGTGTCCATTCGTTTCAATCTCCCGAATCCGCTTCATGCTATTCAACAAGGATGCCAGCTCTGCTGTCTCAAGCTGTGAGTGCGTCTGCTGCAGTGTGTCCCTTAGGGACTCCAGCTGGCCATTCAGAAGCTGTTGCTGCGAAAGGCTCTCGGCCTTCTCTTGCCGAGTCCGGCCCAGGTCGCCCTCCGTCTCGCGCAGAGTGCTCTCCAACCTGGAGACCTCCAGACGCAAACACATGGCCTCCTGCAGTGACTTCGTCTCCCATTCTGTCAACCGGCCCTCCAGGCCGCTGAAAGCTGCAGAAAGCGAAGGCAGCTCAGAGGTCCAACCCAAAGAGTTCACCATGTAGGACTCCAATTTCTCCATTCCACTCCCGATGTTGCTGAAAATGTTATCCTGCAGGGACTCTTGCTGCTCGGCAGAGTTGTTAAAACTCTTGAAGACGTGCTGCTGCAAATCTACCAGGGACTGGCAGTCTTGCTGTATCGCAGACTGCACAGACTCCAGTCTCGTCAGCTGCTCCTTTTGAGCCTTTGATGCCTTCGCTTGCTGATCCACAGAATAACCCAAAGTCTCGAGGCGGTTCCAGATCTTTCGCTGCGTAAGGATCATGCTTTCCTGGACCTGGCTCTGAGTTTCCAGGGTTTTCTGCAACCAAAGATTTCTCTCTTCATCAAAGCTACGCAGGGAAGTCGCGACTCGCTCGGTAATGCCATCGGCTATTTGATCAATGGCTGAGGTGAAGTCTGCACGGAAATCCTTTACTTCGAGGATTGCCTGTGAGAGGGTGTCCATGGTCCCATGGAACTCCTGAAACGTCTCAACGGCCGAGCACCGACCCAAAAAATCCTCAAGACTCCCATTCAGCTTCAGCAATGTCTTAACATGCTGCTGCAACTGCGCAGTGGCTTTCAGATCCACTTTGCGCCAGTCCTCAAAGCGGGACTGGAACGTAGATGCGTGGGCATTGTCGAAAACTGCCTGCAAGGCACGAATACATTCGCCAGCTTCGGCTAGGAAGCTGCTTCTCATCAGCCTTTCGTCTTCACGATGTTGTGCTGTTGATGATATTCTGCTTTTTGGAGGGGTGATGGTCGGTGGGGTCGACATCTGCGAGCGATCACCGCAGACCGACTCATAGCCCGTACGTTGAGAATCCGAGGACAGCTTCAGCGCCGTCTCCTGCAAAAAGCGGTGAGACTGAAGAGGTGCCTCCGACTTGCCCTCTCCACACAAGGGCAGCTTCACTTGCTCCATGGCGCAAAGGCGCAATGCCCCAAGTGGGGAGACCTATAGAGTCTAGCGTGCAGGTGCCATACAAGCATCCCCCCAAAGTCGGATCTGCTCCTTGTGTCGTAAAGCATCTGTTGCTCACCGCAAAAGACCCTCAGTTGTTCTGAGCAGCCCAAGCTTGGCAAGACATCCCAGAAAGAATGCAAAAGCAACAACTCAAGCATGCACCGAAGCAATTGAGCACACAAGGCGTTAACTTATTGATCCGATCAGCTCACCATCGCTATCGCAGCTTCGTCATTGGCCTTTTTGCGCGCGGCCACGACTGATGTCTATCTTTCATAACTGGTCAGGACATCTCTTGTCCAACTTCTTCTTTCACCCACCGTTCTATCAATATGCTCTAGAACACTTGGGACAAGTTGCCATCATGTTGGCGGATATGACAACCTCCTGATGTTGGATTGCTTGATGCTAGCACATAGGACAGCAGCATGGTCGACTGTGTAGCCCCCTCAGACGGGCTTGATCCTGAAGTGGAGACCGAT